CTCGCCCATCTGCTGTTGCGCTTCCCGGTGGCGTGATCGGGAAGGTTCGCAGCGGTGGGGCCGCGGGAGAGCCAGGCCGAGCTGGGCGCCTGCAGCAGCGCTGAGATCACACCCAAGGGTCGCCGTGCCCCAGGGGACCAGGGGACCAGGAGCCCAGGGCCGGACGACATGCAGAAGGAGGGACGGCGCCTGGGGTCCTGGGGGCAGGGCCAGGGTCGTCCTGCCCTCGCCCCTCACCCGCCCTCCTTGCCCGGCCCCCAGGGGCCGCCACCCGACCTCGTCAGCACCCTCGGGTCTCTGGGGCCAGGCCCTGGCTGGCACCCTCTGCTGGTGTCCCCACCCTGGCTCTGGCTGCCCCCAGGGGACTGCAGTTTCTGCTGCTGCCCTGTCCCTTCTGCCCAGGGAGCGGCCAGCATCCAGGTGCTGTACCCTAGCTCGCTTCGGTTCGCTCCACCCTGGACGCGGCCTCTGCTGTGGCCTCGCCAGTACCCCGATTTGGGCCGTCTGTTTGCCGCTGGGCACCGGCCAGTGCAGCCCGGAGAGCCGGCGTCCAGCATCGAGCGAGGACGGCGAGGCCCGGAGGGTGCCCCGAGTGCCCAGGAGGCGTGGCGTGAGCACCCTCCGGGGGCAGTGCCCGCCGGCGCAAAGGGCGAGACGTGCCGGCCGCCGGCCCCTGCGCCCACACCCGGCTCTCAGGCAGAGGACGCGCCCGAGCCCTCGGGCTGGCGGGGGCGAGCCGGTGTCTCCGAGGCGGTCGTCTTCCGCTGCTGGTGGCCGGGGGGCGGGGGGTCCTACCGTCACGTGACCGCTGGGAGACTCGGATGAAGCAGAAGAGGAATTCCGTCACCCACAAACAGCCCTGCGGCGTCAGGGGGCATCCACGAGCCGCCTCCGCGCCCCGAGCACGGTCCGAGGAGGCCTCGCGCTGGCGCCAGACCCGGCGGGCCTACGGGCAGGCCACGGCCCCTCCCCCGGCCGCCCCGGGCCCTCCCAGAGTTGGCCTGCGCTGGCGGCCTCGCGTCCCCGGACAGCCCAGAGTCTGGCCGCAGCCCCTCGCGGCGGCTCCGGGCCTCCCAGCTCCTCCCTCAGGGAGCTGCGCCCCAGCCCGGCGACCTTGGTCCGCTTCCCTCCGGGCGCCTGGGGCTGGGGGTCCCGGCAGCCTCCGCAGACGCCGCGGCCTCACTCGCGAGGGAAGGTCCAGCGTCCCTCCGGTGCCCTCCCCGGAGGGCGAGGACCG